TCATGCACTGGGCCACTAGTATATATATATATGAAAAGAGGAAATATGCAAATTAGGCCAGGATGCTGTAACGGGTCACGACCAGACAGGAGGAGATGGCACGCACAGGTGAGGCCCAAAGTGGACACGGACAGGGACAGGGGACCGGCCCGCAGCCTCCGCAGCCGAGCACAGGCCCGGAGAGGAGATGGCGGGCCCGCCTCCCGTGGAAGCAGCGCAGCGCAGCTCCCGGTGGCACGTTGCGGTTCCTGCCAGCTCCCGCGGAAGCAGCGGGTGGCCTACTGCGCACGATATCGCACAATGGGCTACTAGTATGCATATAAGTTCTTTGATTAATCTCTTACCACCACCGCCCTTCCCACTAAGATTCATCAAATAAATATTCATGTTTATATCTAATTTTGTATTTGTAATTTTATTATTTTTATTAAATAACACCCACCCATACACACACAAATTTATATGCTTTTGGCCTTATAAAAATTGTCTGCCTAGACTTGGACTAATTTCAGTTGTCTTGCTTCTCATTCAGATACATTCCTATACCAGCTTCTGTTTGTTTTGTTTTTAAATTAAATTTATTGGAATGACATTGGTTAATATCATCCAGATTTCAAGTGTACATTTCTATGGTACATGATCTGTATATTGCATTGTGTACCTACCACCCAAAGTCATATCTTCTTCCATTACCATATAGTTGACTTCCTTTACCTTTTACTACCTCAGCCTCCCTCCCCTTTCCTTCTGATAATCACCATACTGTTATCTGTGTCTATGATTTTTTGTTTGTTTTTCTTGTTTGTTCATTTGCTGCTTTCAGTTTTATACCCCAAATATTTGTGAAATCATATGGTTCTTAACATTTTCTGTCTGCCTTATTTTGCTTAGCATGATATTCTCAAGGTCCATTCATGTTGTTGCAAATGGCAGAAATAAACTCACATGTATATGGACAAATAATTTTTTACAAAGAAGCCAAAAATGTACAGTGAAGAAAAGAAAGTATTTTCAATAAGTGGTGCTATGAAAATTGGAAAGCCACATGCAAAAGAATAAAACTAGACTACAGTTTGTCCCCATATATAAAAATTAACTCAAAATGGATCAAAGACTTACATATAAAATCTGAAATAATAAATTACATAGAAGAACATAAGCTACTAAACTTATGGACCTATGGAAGATTTTATGAATTTGACCCTAAAGGCAAGGGAAGTAAAGGCAAAAATAAATTAATGGGAATATATCAAACTAAAAAGTTTCTGCACGCAAAAGAAATTGCCAACAAAACAAAAAGACAAGTGGGAGAAGATATTTGCAAACAACAGTTCTGACAAAGGGTTAATATCCAAAATATATACAGAATTCATATTACCATACCAGCTTATTTTTTGAGGGGTAATGATGGTGCTTTCCTTCTGCTATATGGGACAGGATTTCCAAGGGATCCGAAGCTGAAGGTGAGACCAATTTCTAAGTTTCTTAGCGTGTTCCCAAGCATTATCTAAAAAAGATAAAATGCAAAATATTATTTGGGCCATTTGGCAGCCATTTGGAACACTAATATCAAATTGGATCACTACCTGCTTCTTCTGTCTAATATATTCCAGATGGACAAAAAATTTAAACAGGAAAAAAATGAAGTCATAAAATACATAGGAAAATTCCCACAATATCAATGTGAGAAAGGCTTTTTAAGTTTGATACAAATCCCAGAGGTCATAAAAGAAAGGATTGATACATTTTAATGAATAACAATGAAAAAATTCTGCTTGCCAAGAAATAAAGTTAGAAGACAAGCAACAAATTGAGGAAAAAAAAAAACTATTTGTAACGCCTATCCTATAGGGTTTATTTTATTAATATAAAAAGAGTTCCTACACATTAATAAGAAAAAGGATAAGCAATATAAATTAGGCAAAGTATATTAACAGCTGGTTTATAAAACAAGAAATACAGATGACTTGTAAACACATGAAAAGTTGTTCAATACCCTTATAATAAGAGAAATGCAAATTAAAACTGATAATCAGATTGGCAAAGATCCAAAAGTTTGTAGCACCTTGTGTAGGTGAAGATATTAGGAAGCAGTCAATTTTTGGTGCAAGTGTAAATTGGAACAACTTCTGGAAAGGGCAGATTAAATATGACACAGCTTCATTTCTAGAAAGTAATTCTATAGATGTCTACATTTATAAATTGTTACAAATTGAAAGACATTCACTGTAGCATTGTTTCTAATAGCAAATGTTGGAAATAACTAAAAAAGGGATTGGTTGAATACATAATGGTATATTATCATTAGAATACTATGAGGCCATAAAAAAGAAGAAAGCAGTTCTATGCAGATGTGAAACCATCTTAAAGACACAATTAAAAATGCAATGTTCAGGGTGGGACACTGACATTTAAATGGGTACATTTGATATTTATGTTTTCATGGACTATCTCTAAAAGACAGTTGTTGCCTCCTGGTGGGTGGGTAGACATTTACTTTTCACTACATATCCTTTTGCACTTTTTGAATATTTTTCATGTACCTATCTGACGTATTAAAATGTCATATTTAACAAATAAAAAAAAGAAAAAACAAAACAAAAAATAAATAAAATGTCACATTTATTAAAAATAAGAGATGTGCCCAGCTGGCATGGCTCAGTGGTTGAGCGTCCACCTATGAACCAGGAGGTCGCAGTTTGATTCCCAGACAGGGCACATGCCCGGGTTTTGGACCAATCCCCAATGGGGGTGCGTGCAGGAGGCGGCCCATCAATGATTCTCTATTTCTCTGTTTCTATCTGTCTCTCCCTTTCCCTTCCTCTCTGAAATAAAAAATATATGTATATTTTTTTTAAAAGATGTTCTGTAACTAGGCTAGTGAATACTCAAGCAGTGGTAGTTTTTCTTCTGAAGGCACATTACTGAGAATAAGATTATTACTCTAACAGGGAAATCAGTGAAGTTTCTGAACTATCCAAATCCCAGTCAGGGACTAACTTTAGGAGGACACAAAATCTAACGTTGAGGCCTACTTAGCTGTGCTGTAGTTATTTGTCTGAAGGAGGACAGCTGACAGATGGGAGCTGCTGAGCATAGGTTTAGAAAAGCAGGTCAAAGAGTAGAATTTGACAGGATTCCTCTAGGGCTGACTGATGGAGATGTTTTCTGAAGTGTGTCTTTTATTTTTCCTACAAAATTAGTAGCTGTCATTTAAATGATCTTTCAGTAGTAGCTAAGAACACAGCCTTTGGAGGCAAAGAGATCAGGGTTCAAATCCCAGTTCCTCTTTTTATCATCTGGGTGATTTTAAACAAATACCAATTCTCAGTTTATGTAGGGGTAAATAACCTTTATCTGAATGTTGTTATAGATTAAAGAAAATAACAGAAAAAATCTAGCACAGTAGCTAGCATGTAACTGGTGCTCACTGAATAGCAACTATTGTTTATATTTATAGATTGCTTTTATCATCTCTATAGCTTAAGGTCCTAAAGATTGATTAATAATTGAAACAAATTAAATTGAATCAAATGTATAGCATCTTGTCATTATCAAGATAAATATGGCCATCTAGATAGGGTCTCTCAGAAGTTCAAAGAGGCCCTGACCATTTTTTCCTCTCTTTTGTTGTCTTATTTATTTATTTTTTGAGGCTATTCATATAGAAAATAAGTGGAAAATTCCAAAACAGGGCTTTAAAAAATTGTAGTGTGTTTTAAATGCTGTTTACATTAAATCTAGTGAAATATATTTGTGTTTTTCACATAATAATATTTGAAATATTAATGTATAGTGCACCACAGGCAGGATATGAGATAGATGAAAGTTTTATAATAAATGTCATCCTCTTTTAGTCACTGTGCATCTCTGGGACTGGATGGTTGACCTCCTTTGATGATGACATCAAACGACTGAAGCTCTTCATGAATGTGAGAACCAGCCAAATGGCAGTCCTCAATCCCCAGCCCCAATGATAGGCCCTGTTTTATGGAGTAAGGCAGACTAGAAAGGCAACCTCCTCTAATGGGCTGCAAAACCTAGACATGCACATTTCTCTCTTCCACTGGCTCAGCATTTCTAACTTGCCAGTGACAAAAGCCAGCATTTGTGTCTTGTGTCTTGCTCTCAGTTGGTGTGACACAGTCTTTAATACTAATCTAGGCAGATTGCTACTCCAGGGCCTGGATAATGCCCTTGTAATGCAGGGAAAATGGAATCCACTCACATTTTCCTGTATCATGGGGAGCTGCTTCAGCTCAGTTAAAATCAAGAAATGATAAAGTTAAAAGACTTTTCAAGAATCAGGAAATAGCTCCTAAGTGGGGTCTTCAGTTGGACACTAAAGAGAAATGGCCCATTTTTCTCCCTGGTTGAGTGAGTTTTTGCTGCTGACCTGTAAATTCTACACTATTTCAAAGTTACTGGCTGGGAAATTAATGGAACCTGAGCTGGGAATTTTTTTCTTTCTTACCCTATGTGTGATGTCTTATTTAAAAATAATTCAGACTCAAAGTGAATTTCTAGCAAATGGGGCTCTGGCTGCTATTAAATTTATTGATGGTGAATCCATCATTCCTGCTTTTTATGTATGATGTCGCGATTTTTTTTTTTTTAAAGCTCTATGCCATGAGACTTTCTTGAAATTCACCTCTTCCATTTGCCCCATAGTGCTATAAGTGATTCGGGTTAAGATACTGCTTCACAAATTAATTTACCATGTTGTTATTTTATGACAAAGTTTTGCAAAACCATTAAGTAAACCACAGTTATTTTTTATATATTGGGATGTTTTTGATGTGCTAAGATTTTAGATAAATTTGTTATTTATCTTGATGAAAGCCAGATAAATAAATGCTCCTATTGTGCCTAATAACTCAACTCTTTGCTTTCACAAGGCCAGTGCAAGGCTGAAAGGAAATTCATCTCAAAGCTATTAAGAAAAGCCAGATAGAAAGAGAGCATAAAAATGAAATGAACTATGGTGAGAGGGCCAGACCCTCTTCCAGAATGCTCTACATCATCCCAGCTACACAGAAAGAACAAAGATTTAGAGTTCCAAACTCAAGAACAGGAAGAAATGATGTGGGATGGTCTGAGAAAGGGATCAATCTATCCTGTGTTCATAGGAGACACAGGGAGAAAAAGAAATCTTTTGGCAAAAAGGTCTCACAGCTTAAACTAGAAATAGCATTTCTCACTCCCAAGCTGTCACCATGGCCCCCATTTGAATACACCTCAAAAGCAGCCCTGTTTCCATTGCTCTGTTCCCTGCCCATGCATGCAGGGGTACAAAACTAAGAGAGTGAGGAAACTACCTGGGTACCTCCTTCCTGCTACTTGGGGACTGGGTAGTTCTAACTTTCAAGTTATCACTGAAGCCACTGGTAGCCAGACTACAAAGAAATTCTAACAAGCCATTTGGACCTTGAGGGTTTCCTCTAATAATCCACCTTGGGTAACCTTTCTTTTTAAATCCCTGCAAGTGCACAGCCCAGACAGAGCTTGATGCCACTCTGCCTCCAGTATCACCTGTGAGATGCCTGCATGTCTTATCTTTCCATGAAGTTGGAGGACCTTGGGAATTCCTGAAAAAAACAACAACAAAAAACCAAAACACCAAAAACAAAAACTAGGTCTTTATTACCACCTACCTAATGCAATTTCCTAAGCTGCAATGTTTTTCTCATTTTTCTGGGTCCAAATCCGGTCCATCCTAAAAGAGCGCTAAAGCTATTTCCAGTAAGAAAGACTTTCTGTAGCAGCGTCAGTCATTCTTTGTGGCCACCTACATTCCATGTTTGGAGAATCGCCCTCATGAGGCACAGTCCACTTTTCCCTACAGCCCTGACAATGCTGGATTCTCACTTTCCCAGCCTTTATTGTAGCTAGGGTGTGAGCATGTGATTTAGGCTCTCCCCCTGGAACACTCGCACCCCAAGCTAGCTGTGAGAAGAAGCAGGGACTGTGCAGAATCCATTCTGGTGGCTAGTCGGGTCTGTAGCAGTGGCAGATAATTTAGCTCCCAGAGGCAGTAATGGCTGTGGTCCCTACAGCTGAATTCTGTGTTAGTCTCATAACTGTAAATAATTGTAGTGTGTTTTAAATGTTGTTTACATTAAATCTAGTGAAATGTATTTGTGTTATTCACATAATAATATTTGAAATATTAATGTATAGTGCACCATAGGCAGGATATTATTTAACAACTAGGGGCCCAGTGCACGAATTTGTGCACCTTGAAGGAACTGTGGGCCGTGAGGTTGCGGTGGGCACAGGGGCGGGTCTTGGTTCATCTTCTACACCTCCACTCCTGCCACCACAGCTCCCACGCACTGATGGTGCCGGCCCCACTTGCCCCCGCTGATGGCATGGAGCAATTGGGGCCGGCGCCAGCAGTGGGTGTGAGTGGGGCCAGTGTTGTCAGCGGGTATGAGTGGTGGCTGCTGCCCTGATTGCCCCTCAGGAGCAGGGGAAGGTGGAGAAGCCCTGAGGGGTGATAGGGGCCTGCGCTGGGCGCGAGCACCGGGTAGGACTGTGGTGTGCAGGAGCAAAGAATTTTCATAAACACCAGAGGCTCACTCCGATGACAGTGACTGGCGCCCCATGTTGGCCTGGCACCCCTGCTCACCTGCTCCATTCTTCTGCTGCGGCTGACACCCGACATGTTCTGCACGTGCCCCCTGGTGGCCAGCACACATCATAGTGACTGGTTGTTCGGTTGTTCCACCATTCGGTCTATTTGCATATTAGCCTTTTAGTATCTACTAGAGGCCCTATGCATGAAATTCGTGCAATGGTAGGCCTTCCTTCCTCCAGATGCCGGCACCAGCTTCCCTTTGGCACCTGGGACCCAGGTTTCCCTCCAACCACCAGCAGGCACCTGGGACCCAGGCTTCCCAAATAAAAGTGTAATATGCTAATTAGACCAGACGTCCTTCTGGATGACCTTCTGGATAAAGCCAGGGCTGCAAGGGAAGCCTGGGTCCCAGGTGCCGTAGGGAAGCCAGTGCCTGCAGCCGGGGAAGGAAGGCCTACTCTTGCATGAATTTCATGCATCCGGCTTCTAGTATAGGATAAAAAAGGAATGGATTACTAATACATGCACCAACATGAATCAACCTTGAAAACGTGCTAAGTGAAAGAAGCCAATCACAATGAAACACATATTGTATGATTTCATCTATAGGAAATGTCCAGAATAGGCAAGCAATGCAGTCTGTGCCCTACAGCACTTTCTGTGATGTCTTTGCCATTTCAGCTGCCTAAAAAATTTGGAGCATTACTTGTGCCTGCACAACTTCTAAGCCTAGTTCTGCAGCCTTCCAGAGATTCTATAAGCCATCCCCGATATTTTTTTAAAAAACTATTTTATTGAGATTTAATTCACTTATCATACAATTCACCCATTTAAAGCATACAATTTATTATTTTAAAGTAAATTCACAAGATCATGCAATGATCATAACAATCTAATGTTAGAACATTTTGTCCTTGAAAAAGAAATCCCATACCCATTAGCAGTCACTTTCCAATCCTTCCCCTATTCGCAGATCTAGGCAGCCACTAATCTATTTGAGATCTCTATAGATTTGCCTATTCTGGGCATTTCATATAAATGAAATCATATAATATGTGTTTTGTTGTGATTGGCTTCTTTCACTTAGTATGTTTTCAAGATTGACTCATGTTGTAGCATGTATTAGTAATCCATTCCTTTTTATTGTTAAATAATATTCCATTGTATGGCTATCCCACATTTTATTTATCCACTCACCTGTTAATGGATATTTGAGTTATTTCTACTTTCTGGCCCTTATGAATAATGCCTCTATGAACATTCATGTGCAAGTTTTTGTGTAGATTTCTCTTGGGAATTTATAACTAGGAGTGGAATTGCTGGTATGGTAACTATGACTAATCTTTTGAGGAGCTGGTAAACTGTTTTCTAGAGTGATTGCCCCATTTTGCAATGTGTGAGGGTTCCAATTTCTCCACATCTCTGCCAAATAATCTTTGTTATTTTCTGTCTTTTTTATTATAGCCATTCCAGTGAGTGTGAAGTGAGATCTCATTGTATTTTTGCTTACAGTTAAATAAATTATTTCTGCTTAAATCTAGTTTCTTGCAACTAGAACCCTAACTGATTCATTCCTTATCAGTCCACACTGGCCTGTTCTACCTCTGAATTGTACTACACAGTTGAGCATTTGTTCATTCCCTGGATGCAAGATATTTTTCTCCTCTCCTTGGTTTAAGCAACTGGAGGTCATAGAGTCCATCACCTACTTCTGTGTCTTTCCCGTATTGCCTAACCTGAAGCTAAGCACTTATGAGGCTTTACTCAAGTACTTAGTGAATTAGAAGATTGTTGATGGGTTCATTAAAACAGTTCCTTGCTTATCACACAATTCTGGAAATGTGTCTTTCATTCTTTCTTTAAGTGGACTCAACCATGGAGATGTGAAGAAGGTGCTGGGGACATGCATTTTGAAAATGGGTCAGATTTGGGTTCTAATTCTATTTCTGCTGATTACTAGCTGTGGGACCCAAGAGCCAGTTAATTGACCTCTCTGAGCTTTGGCTTTCCTTTTTACAAAAGACATAAAAACAGGTATCTCAGATAAGTGTTATGAGGGTTAAACTACATCCTGTTTGTATGGAAGTTGTTCAATAAATGTTTCTTCTGCATCCCCACACTACCCCCTAACTCCCAGCCCCAGTAATCTCCCTTAGAGATTCATTCTAGTCATGTTTGCTATTTTATAACTTTTTTAGGGAGTTGGAACAAGCCTGCTCCTTATAAGATTTAAGTAATGTTCTTGCAAATGAGTATTATGTTGAGGGGGTGAGGCAGTGCAAATCAGGGAAGGAGGGAAAGACATTGTCAAAACTCAATTTAGAGAGCAGAGAGAGGTCTTATATTGCCGGAAGCCGGTCCATCCTTGCTGCTTGACACAGTCGCTGCAGGAAAGAAACATCTGCACAGCATATGTTTCAAGGGACCTGGCATATATAGCATATTGTTCTTAATATGTTTGCTCTCCTTAGCGCCATGTGTTTTAACCAAGGTCACCTCTCCGAGAAACGTTGTTTCCCCAGGTGGGGATTTTTCCCTGAGGTTAGGGAGGGGATACAACCCCTTAACTAAGTGCCAGGCGGGTAGTTAATCACTTTAACTACAAACAATCACGCTTAAGCTACATAATCTTTACTCCCTGGAATGGAGATAAGAAACGCCCTAACCTTTGCAATAGAAATTGACAGGATTAAAATCAACTGGTATAAATACAGATGTAACAAGACAATAAACATCAGATCCTAATCAGATCCTAACCAGAACTTGACCAGACCTTCGCTGGAGATCCTGACTAGAACTTGGCTGGAGATCCTGGCTAGGCTGCTGATCAACTGAAGGCTGTCTCCGTGTCATTCCTTCTTCGCCGACTCCGTCCACACCTTTGGGGACCCCTGGACCTGCTGGGGTTGGACCCCAGCATTATATGTAGTTGCCACTGAGAAGGAACAGGAAGCAAGGGATGCCTGGGCTCTGCTGTTTACATGCCCTGTTTCCCCAAAGGACTCTTTTTTTTTTTGTCTATGACCACATAGGCATAGAATCTTTGTGAAGCGAAGTTGATGTTTATTTCAAATGACCTATTTCTAGGGGCATTCTGGGATCTGATTGGAAGAAGCCATGTGTACACCACAGGCTGAAGGAGTAATGGGGGAGGCTGGCATGTATGTTGGTGTGTTATGGGAAGATCATTGTCTGTGGCAGCTGTCTTTATCCATACTACATTTAAGGGAAACTTCTATTCTGGAAGGCTTAAAATAAAGCACCTGAGTGAAACTTTCTGTAACACAGTTGTGAGGGGGTTGAACTGACATCTATATGATAAACTAATGGGAGTTGAATCTGGTTTTCAAGTGAACCTTACCTGGAGGAAAATGTAACTTGCCACTTATTTAGTGTTAAATTTCTTTATCTTTTACAAGGTGATTTAAATTCCGTTAGTAGAGGTCAAGTCCTCTACAGATTCCTCAGTGAGAGCTCAGATACCAAATACATCTGAAAGGGTTAACAGACTGCTATTTTTATTAATGTGTAATTTACTGGATGCATGGCCTTTGTGAGTGTGGTTTTTAGTAGTGCGCTGAGGGAAGTGATTATAAGGGAACCAGGTTACTAAACAAGACACACTATAAAGGAGAAAATGGCATGCAAAACGGGGAGATGGCAGACATAGAAATTAACTTCTTGGTTTCCCCAAAGCCAGCCCTATTAGGCTTCATTCAGTCATTCAACAACAATTTAGTGAGCATCTGCTATAGAGTAGGTTCTGTGCTGGGAACTTGGATGACAAACGGGGGGCCTTTATTGTGAAGATACTTTATGCTATGTACAGATTTGTACCTAATCTTCCTATAGCTTGGATCCTGGAGTTCAGGAGCTGGAAATCTAGCCTAACTCAGCTTAGTTGTAGCCAACCTATAGGCTTATGAGCATGAGAATGAGGGACTGTTATTGTAAGCCTCTGACTTGGAGGGTAGTTTGTTATACAATATCCTTGTGACAAATAGTTGACTAAATGCACCATGTTAAGTTTGAATTTTCTTCTAAGGGAGTAAAGACTTTTAATCAAGGGAGAGCTTAATAACCTTTGAATTTTAGAATGATCTCTCTGGGTACAATGGACTCCATTAGCTTGGATACTAGAATAAGATACATGTAGCCCAACTGGAGTGGCTCAGTAGGTTGAGTGTCGTCATCCTGTGCACTGAAAGGTTGAGAGTTTGATTCCAGGTCAGGGCACATCCCCAGGTTGTGGATTTGATCCCCAGTCATGGCACGTATAGAAGGCAACCAGTCAATGTTTCTCTCTCTCTCTCTCTCTCTCTCATCAATAAACATATCCTTGGATGGAGGATAAGAAAAAAAAAGATACATACATGGATCTATAGTAGCTGCTCTAAGTAGCTGCTGGCCCAAAGATAATGAGAGCCCAGTTATAGCATATCTGACCAACCTATAGCATGAAGTCTAAAGAATGGATTGAAGACTGTACTATGGGAGACCAGCAAGGAGACTGTTGCAATAATGTAGGCTTGAACTTGGGAAGTGACAGTTAAGAAGAAAGTTTTATTTAAGTGGGAGAATTAATTGGTCTTGGTGATTGTTCAATAGCATGTGAAAGTTGCAGGAGAGGAAGGTTAAGGGTGACTTGGTCAACAGGGTAGATGAGAGTGCCCTTCACTCAAAAGGAAGAACATTTTTTCAGGGGGAGATGATAGCAAAGGCAGACAGGTAAGTTCATTAAAAACATATTGAATTTGTGTGTCCAAGTTATGTCCAGGAAATAGTTAGATATTCAGATCTGGAGAACAGGAGAGTGATATGTTTGGAGACATGCGGTTGGTTGTCATCAAAAGACAACAGTTAGAGGAGCCCAATGAATATATAAACCTTCCCAAGGAGATTATGTGGTATAAAAGCAATTTTGTTGAGATTGCTTCTATCTTATGATACACACACACACACACGTAAGTGGGAAACAAAGTCATTTATTATGAGTTCTGGGATGGTGTAGCACTGGGGGTTTGAGGAGATTGGTGATAGTAAAATCTACAGGGCTGTATGATTGATTAGCCTCAGAGGAGCTGTATGTTCAAGGTGCAGGAGCCCTAAAGGCAGAGAGTTGGCTTACCCCATTTGGAGTTTCACCACTGAGGTCCAGCAGAGAATAAGCAAGAATGGAGACGGTGAAAATCAGAAAAAGAAGGATTTTATTGATGGATCACTAATGGGTCTTCTCCATGAAGTCTAGATTTATAAATATACAAATTAGGGAAGTGGCTTTAAGTTAATCTGACCATAATTTTTTTTCAAGTTCCTACTGTATATTTAATTTTATAACTGGCTAATTCATATAAAACTTTAAATGATGAAATCAAACAATAAATCAGTGAAAACTCATTTTTTTCATCCAATTTTTCAGAACTATGTCATTTGTATAAAGTGAGGCACACGTGCAAAAGACTTTACAGTAAACGTATATTTAAAGACACTTATGACACATAATTAAAAAAACAAAACACCAATAACAACCTTTTCATCTACCAGCATAGCAGACAGAAGCGTATTGTCATCTCCATATTGTAGGTGGGAAACTGAAGTATGGTGAGACTGAATCACTTCTTCAAGGTGTTTGTTTTTTTTGTATTCCAAAGCATTCCAGTGTTTGAATATGTGGTATATCATGTAAACTTCCAAACAAAAACAGTGAACAAATAAGCTATCATTTATTAATATTTATGGAGCCCTTGTGTCATGCTCAGCCTATGGCAAATGCTATAAATTTTTAAAATGAAGATGTGCAATGTACATTTCTGGACTTAAAAATCCTATAATCTGCTTACAGAGACCAAAGCTCAACATACTAAAAATTTACAAAGAATATTAGAAATAAAAAAACACTTGAGACAATGACAGGAAAAATCCTGAGCTGTGTGTGAGGTGACCAGTGAGTGGAATAGACAATAATTTGGAAAGGAGAGGTCAGATGAGCTCGAGTTGCCAGAGAAGACTTCATATAGGGGTGGAAATTTGACTGAACCTTCAGGAATGAGTAGTAGTTGAAGAGTAATCATTATCCTCTTAAAAATATTATTTTGGTTAATCCTCACCTGAGGATATTTTTTCCATTGATTTTTTATAGAGAGTAAAAGGGAGGGGGAGAGACACAGAGTGAGAAACATCGATGTATGAGAGACACATTGGTTGCCTCCCACACACACCCCAACCAGGGCCAGAGGCTGCAACTGAGGTACGTGCCCTAGACCAGAATCGAACCTGGGACCCTTCAGTCCATGGCCCAATGCTCTATCCACTGAGCCAAACCGGCTAGGGCGAGAGTCCTCATTATCATTATCATCTTGCTTATATAAAAGCACTTGTATAAATATGTACCCTCACAAGTCTCCATTTGAAGGGACACTTTCAGACAGAGGTCTGAAAATAATTCCCTGAGAGTAAGAAGAGGGGGATATGCGAGAAAATGCACTAAAGACTAACTTTACTAAAATCTCACTTTCCCCTGAGAACAAGCTCTGCAGGATTAGATTTTCTTTAGGATTCTCACCACCTCATACCTTTCCTGTGCCTACAATCTCTGTACTTGTGATATGGGTGGGCCCTCCAGTTGTTCTCATTCTCAGTGCTCTATTATGCTTTGTCCCTTCATGAAGTAAAACTAAGAGAGCTCTTTCCCAAACCTTGCTGGTTTTCCAGAATGTTCATTTCAGTTTTCTGAGGCATTCACCTGGGGTTGGCAAACATTGTGGCCTGGATAGAATCATGGCTGTGCAGGGTGTTGCTACTCCTCACTTCTCAATTAGAAGGCTGGTGGTCAAGGGCTCTGGGAATACACAGTTTAGTGTTCCTACCCATCCAAAGATGGGGTGGTCAGTTGATGGGGATAGAAAGGTCATTGAATAGTGGTGTAAATAGAGTCTGGCCTCTCACTGAGTACTTTCTGAGCAACAGACTCACATTGGAATAACTCTTCAAGAATGAGTTCTTAACATCTGTGACTTGAGTCCAGCAGACTCAGAACTTATCCATTCCCTTACAGGTTTCCCCAAATACACACCTATGTCTGCTTTGTTCCTCTACATACAAGTCTTATTTTCTTCTACAATGAGGTTAGATGATCCATAAAGAAGAGCTCATTTGTTCGTTAAATGCAAGCATTCAGCAATCCAAAGCTCTATATTTAGAAACAAAGTTGACTTTTGGTCAAGATGAGAACCAAGAAAACATGGGAAATCCTCTTTCCACCCTCAAAACATAAAATTGCTAGATACTAAAAACCTTTTTTAAAGTATATAGCTGAGCTTGCAAGCAAGAAATAGAAATTTCTAGGTGTTAGAAATTAAGAGAGAATCCACAGAGGTGAGTGATATTTATGTCTTATGAGCAATCCCAGCACCTTACGGTAGGGATTTTAACAACCTGAAAGAATGGTGGTCAAGTCTTTAGATTTCCTGCTCATGGAGGTTGGCTGCGATTAGTCTCCTTACAGAGCATGTTGGGTCAGAAATGTCAAAAGGGTCAGCTAAGAGAAATAAAGATTCTTATGCTGTGCTGCCTGTGAAGGCTCAAATACTCACAAAAACCTCATAATGTAGAAGCCCTGTGACAAGAATCTAAACTAAATGTTTGTGTGGAATCAGTGAATCCTAGTGAACCCACAGCAAAGGCAGCCATGAAAAAAGCTTGATGGGGGTCTTATCCACAACCCAGGACACAGTGTAAAAGGGACTTTAAGTATGCTTTAAAATCTTCTAAAAAAAAAAAAAAAGAGGAAGGGATAGAACTTGTAAGCTAAGAATGGGACATAATTTTTTGAAAAGGAGAGCTTTGAAAATGAATCACGTAGCATTATATGTTGTATCTTCCAAAATCATAGCACATAGATGGCCACAGCAATATTTCCCATCCCACATACTTTTCTCTTTTTTTTAAAATATATTTTATTGATTTTTTACAGAGAGGAAGGGAGAGGGATAGAGAGTTAGAAACATCGATGAGAGAGAAACATCGACCAGCTGCCTCCTGCACATCCCCTACTGGGTATGTGCCCGCAACCAACATACATGCCCTTGACCGGAATCGAACCCAGGACCCCCCAGTCCGCAGGCCGACGCTCTATACACTGAGCCAAACCGGCTTCGGCCACATACTTTTCTCTTACAAGGGTCCATACTCCTCCCATCAAGAGGTGGGGTGTATGTCCCTTCCCTTGATGGGCATATGTGACTCACTTGTAATTAATAGAATGTGGTATAAGTGATGCTGTGTGACTTCTGATGCTATATCAGAAATGTGAGGCAGTTTTGGCCTTGCTGACTGGATCACTTGTGCTGGAATCCTGAGCTGCCTGCCATGTAAGAAGTTCAACTGCCTAGGAGTTGTCAGGCATGAGGAAGCCCAAGTTAGCCTATGCAAAGTGACCACATGTAGCGGTCCTGTGGCTACATAAAGAAAGAGAAATGCCTGGCTCTCCACAACTTTTCCAGCCTTCTGCTGTTTCAGCTCTAACCACTGGCTGATTGCAACTACCTAAAAGACCCTAAGCCAGAACCTCTAACTGAGCCTTTTCTGAATTCCTAATGCACAAAATCATGAGCAAAATAGGCAGATTGTTTTAAGTGGCTACATTTTGAGATAGTTTGTTTTTTGTAGCAATGAATAACAGGAACATACAGAAATCCTGGAAGTTAAAGTATTGAGGAAATTTATTGAGGAAACTAGATTAAGTAGTAATTTAGATTAGCTGAAGAGAAAACTACAGAATTAGAAGATATATGTAAAGAAATCATACAGAATGCAGAACACAGAGAGAAAAGACAGAAAATAAAAAGGGAAATCAGGAGACATGGAGATTGAAATAAGAGCTTACACAATATGTCCAAATCCAATAGGGCTAAATGGAGGCAAGAAACACTTCTTTAAATATTACTGACATATCGCCTTCCTCAAATTGCCAAAACTGTTTTCTGGAGGAGTCTCTTTTATTTCATCCTGAGGAAGGTTCCCTCTCATTTGCCAAGAATATGTTGAATGACTTCTTATAATAGTAAAAAAGCAGAGGGGAAAGGAAGATTTGTTTTCCTACCCTTAATAGATTAAATTTGTTTTCTGCTACAAATGTAAGAAGCAGTTAACTGTCAGTGAGAGAGTCCAATCAGGGTACACATTATAAGAACCAGACTTTTTATGTAGTGGCAAAATCAGTGTGGGGTGATGAAAGTGATCCATCCTGTGTGCAGGCAATAGGAGTGCATTTTCTCTTGAAAACCGAAAAACAATGATAAAACCATGTTAAAGTAGATATGCTTTTTATTATCACCAAATATCAGCAATTCTAAATAATGTCAATGATAAAATACTCTTCCCCAATAAATTCTTTTGTTGGTCTAAGTTCTAGTTCTCTCTTCAATTTTAATAATATGTGTAAACTTCAAATTAGCACATTTTAATTACTTATCCTTTGATAAATACTGCATTTTAAATGGAAGTTAATATGAAGAATTCCCAGTTATATGATAGACTCCTAATATATTCAGACTTAGGCACATGCATTTGTTTCAAGAATAAGTTAGTAATGATCCAGAATCATTTGAGTTTGCTTTCTGTCTCTAACCCCAGAGGTGTTACATATGCCCACAATAAACACCAATACCATAGTGATTGTAAAAAAAAAAAAAAAGAAACAGAACATGTGTTACTAAAATTCCATCTTTCTATGTAACCACTTAGGCTTTTTACTTGTGTTTAAAATTTAAAATAATAAAGCAGAATGCAAAAATTGAGGTGTAATACGTTTGTTTAGTTAAGTGTGTATTTTAGTTCATTAAAAATATTTTTTACTGAATATTAATATCCTTAATATTGAAATTTCCTTTTAGTTGTTATTTTTTTCTGGTTGTTAAAAAAACGGTGTTATTCATTATTATAACATACTAATATGTAAGTGTGCATATTTATTTATTTACTTATTTATTTTAAAAATATATTCTTATTGACTTCAGAGAGGAAGGGAGAGGGAGAGAGAAACATCAATAATGAGAGTATCATTGATTGGCTGCCTCCTGCTGGGGATCAAGCCCGCAATCCAGGCATGTGCCCTGATTTGGAACTGAACCATGACCTCCTGGTTCATAGGTTGACACTCAACCATTGAGCCATGCCAGCTGGGCTAATTATACATTTTTAAAACTTTGACTCTAAAAATACATTATAATTAAAAAGTATTAATCTATTGCTGATTTCCTTCTTTTTGCATTATAGTATTTATAATTTTATTGGCATATATGCCAGTAAATACACACACATTTAAATAAAAGAAAAATTCCATTGTCTGTTTTTCTTTTCTGGTCATCATAATTATTTGTTTAATTTTATGATTATTACTAAAAATACTTTTGTCATAGAGAGGAGTGAGTGTTAAGAATGATCTGCTCTGGTTTTGGCAGGTGGTGGGTATACATATCTTTAAGAATGATCCTGTCCTGTGGAGACTTGTCCTAAGTCTTTCAGAAAAAAGAACAGAAAAAAATGGAAAGAAGTTTAACTTTTGGTTCTAACAAACTGCCATAATTGAGAAGGCACCCCTTTCACTCCAAGTATTATAGGAATGGTGGTGATGAAATGGGAAACTGAGAGCCGCTGTTGGAGCAATGATGATGACGTGGTAGGACCAGCTACTGCACAGAGAATAGCAGCAGGAAACTTATAAAAATGGACTAAACCCCATTTTTAATGGAGAATTGATCAGATGTGAGCATAAACCACCTTTTATCTCTGGAAGAGAGGAGACAGAGAAGCTTGAGAGGAATCAAATATTAGTTCACTTGTCATTTAAGCCTATAATTGCTACCAAACAGATGTGGCTTCAGTAAACAAAGCTCCCCTTGGCTTAAAAGTAGTCTTCCCTGAGTGCAATCCCATGACATAAATAAGTAATATTTTGAGTAGTAGTAGCATGCGTGTGTCAATCTAAAAAAAATAAAGAAATCAGGCAAGGAAACAATCAGGGTCAGTCCTGGACTTAATTAAGCAGTTGATGAAGTTCAGTTTCTTTATCTGTCTTCATTCTGGTCATTTAAACCTTTAGTGTGTGTCTACCTTTATTTTATAAGTCATTCAGGGTCATTCTGTTCTCTCTGAAGAATCCTCTATCAAAATATTTTTTATACTAAAGTCTAAAAGGCAAAAAACAGCCACATGTGATTTCATCTGGTGTACTGACTTTTTATTTTTAACATAAGCTTTTCATTTTCTGATGTAAGAAGTGCAACAGAAATCCCATTTACCCTCTAACCAGTTTCCCCAAATGACAACATCTTGGAAACTAGAGTACAATATCATAATCAGGTTATTGAAATTAACATTCAAGTTACAGAACATTTCCATCACCACAAATATTCCTTATATTGCTCTTTGATAGCTCCATCCACTTCTCTCCCACCCCCTCACTTAACTCTTCTTAACATTTCCATAACTCCTGGCAACCACAAATATTTTCTCCATTTCTATAACTTTGTCATTTCAGGAATGTTATATAAATAAAACCATAAAGTATGTAACCTTTAGGGATTGGCTTTTTTCACTTGGCATACTTCTCTGGAAATTCATCCAAGTTGTTGCATATACCAATAGTTCAACCAAGTGCCCATCAATAGATGAGTGGATAAAAAAAGTTGTGGTACAAATAAACTCAATATGGATAAAGGACTTAAATGTAAGATGGGAAAGCATAAAAATCTTAGAAGAAGCCATAGGCAGCAAAATAGCAGACATTGTCATAGCAATGTCTTTACCAACACAACTCCTAGGGCAATGGAAACTAAGGAAAAGGTAAACAAATGGGACTATCCTATCTAATAATAGACAAACATGGTAATTGACCATACCTTCTTTACGTCTCCCATTGGCTAATCAGCACAATATGCAAATTAACTGCCAACAAAGATGGTGGCTAATTTTCATACTGCAGGCGGGGTCGGCAGC